ATCTGTAATACATTCTACATTCAACAATAAAGATTTTTAAAAAAAAGAAGAAGAAAGTGACAAACTTGTTCAAAGTGGCTGTATCATTTTACACTTCTACCACCTCTGTGGGACCCTGACAACACTTAACACAAGTGTCAATGGAAGTGCAAAATGGTCCGGCCACTTTGGAAGACAATTTGTCAGTTTCTTACAAAACTACACATACTCTTACCTTACAAACCAGCAATCATGCTTCTTAGTATTTAACCAAAGGAGTTGAAAAGTATGTCACTACAAAAACCTGCACATGGATGTTTATAGCAACTTTATTCACAATTGCCAAAACTTGGAACAAGATGTCCTTCAGGAGGTGAAAGGATAAACTGTAGTACCTCCAGGCAGTGAAATATTATTCAGCTATAAAAAGAAATGAGTTATCAAGCCATGAAAAGACATGGAGGATGCCCTGATCAGTTTGGCTCAGCAGTTGGAGCGTCAGCCCACGGACCAGAGAGTCCCGGGGTTTCGTTCCCGCTAAGGGCACATACCTCGGTTGCAGTTTGTCCCCGGCCCCGGTTGGGGTCGTGTGGGTGGCAACCAGTTGATGTGTATCTCTCTCTCTTCCTCCCTCTCTCCCTCCTGCTCTATCTGAAGATAAATGCAAAAAATGTCTTCGGGTGAGGATTAAAAAAATGTATATATATATATATATATTTCAGTTTCTGTTTAATCTGTTTTATTTCTTTTTGGCTTTTAAATTTTCCCTTTTTTTCACCTTCTATTTCTTTTAAGGTGTTACCTGTTATATTTATTGGGTTTAACCTTGATACCTTTCTGCTCCTTATTGCTATCTGCTGTTGATTTTTCTGAAATTTTAGGATATATGAGTGTGCTGTTTTAAAAGATGGTGGCTTCCTTTCTGCAACTTCCTGGCATTGTTCCCTTCCCCAGTGTGACCGGACCTTCTCTTTCCTTGTCTCTATTCTCCTGATCCTGCTTAATTTTTATTCTACACCCAGAAATTTCTCCTCGGTGTGTGGCCATGCCCTGGAATGGAGCCGTGGCTGGTCAGTTTCAAGAGTTTACAGGAAAAAATAAAAGAGTTTACAGGAGCTAGATTGCCCTAGCCACTTCAGATTTTAGCATGGGCCTTGCGCATTCATTCACTAATAGGATTAGGCCAAGCTCCTCTAGTTTAATCTCTTGTTCTTAAATTGATTCACCTCACTTTCCTATTGGCTATTTGGGGATTTTTCAGTTTAGGGGTCTGTCAGATGTCCTGTGGCTTCCTCTGCTTTCTCCCACAGATGCTGAAATTATGCAGACATAGCTGTTGGTGATTTGCTCTCACCTGCCTGTATATAGGATTCACCGAGATACCTTGTCACCTAGTTTTGCAAAATGTGGTCCATAGGTTTTGGTTTTACTATCTGTTGCTCTCTTGGTTTTTATGTGGGGATTTGAAGAGATTAAATAACTATACTATGATCGCTGCCATCTATCTAATATCTGCATTTTATTTTTGGAAAAGAAATGTATACAAATGATCCATTCTAGTTGTTTAAAAAAAATAGATATATAAAATAAAAAGAGAATGTTCTTCTCTTCCCCGTTTCATTCTTCAGAGGTATTTACTGTTAAGAGGTATATATCCTTCCAAACATTTTTCTTTCCTTTCACTGGGGTGTGTGTGTGTGTGTGTGTGTGTGTGTGTGTTACTGCTTTACTATCTATATTTTTATTGCAATTGGTTTTTCTACTTGATTATACATTGAAGACATCTCTAAGAACTAATATGGTCTGATAGTTCTTGTAATTGATCACCATTACCAAGTGGATTTTTCTCTTAGGAAGGATACAAACTGCTCTGGTTGCTTTAAAAATAAACATTTAAACAGTGTTGAAGTCCGTCACAAAATAATTGATGGAATGTACCTGTAGTTGAGAATCTTGGCACTTAGGACCACTGGGTAAAGACCTCCTTTATGACCTCTAGTCTGCTTTGCTCTAAGAAAATCCTGTTTTGGGGATAGTCCAGGCTAGAGTAACTCTTTGAGCTAGGCTTTTATAAATACTCCTTTTCCTTTTCTTCAAGTGGGGATGTGATTAGTCTTGGGCCAAAGAAGAAGAAGATGATTACGTTCCACTCATGAAGCTCTAACACGGCATGGTGACCAGAGAATTCACAAAGTGACGCTCCGGGCTTAGCTCTACCATGACTGGACTAACATTGAGCAAGTCATTTGACCTTTCTGGGCTCAAAGAAAAATTGCATTTGTCTGGCAAATTGTTTCAAAATGCATCATAACTTACTTTTTTAAAAAAAGAAAAGAAGCTATGTGCCCAGCCGGTGTGGCTCAGTGGTTGAGCATCGATCTATGCACCAAGAGGTCGCCAGTTCGATTCTCAGTCAGGGCACATACCCAGGTTGTGGGCCCAATCCCCAGTGAGGGGCATGTGGGAGGTGGCCAATTGATGTTCTCTCTCATTGATGTTTCTGTCTCTGCCTCTCCCTTCCTCGCTCTTGAAAATTAATAAAGAAAAGAAAAAAAGAAGCTATGTAGGGCATACACTTTCCAGTTCCATTTGGTAAGCATCATTCCTTTTTTACCTTATACCCTGCCCTTTCATAGATAGGCGTGATCTACTTGGCCTCTGAAAGCTTTTGAGGTTCATACCCTGGGACTAGGTAATTTTTAAGGTCATGGTTTGTTAAAGTGAAGATTCCTGGGCTCCATACCAGTTTACTTCATCAGAATCCTGCAGCGTATCCTAGGGAACTGCACTTTTAATGTGTGCTCCTGATGGTTCTATTGCTCACCTGTCTGAAATCTCCTACTATATCATAAATTCCAACTATATCATCCTAACTTTACAGACAGAGAGACGGATGGGGAAGGGCATTGAGGATTAATAACTATTTTATCTACCTGCTGTAATTCTGAGGAGGGAAGGACAGTTTCCATACTTTTCTTTCATTACAGGTTATTGGAGGCAAGGCCGGGCCATTCTCCTCAAAGCAGGACATTAGGACACAGACAGACCTATGTATATAGTGAGTCATTAGATTACACAGGTCTTGGAGGGAGGTTCTAGAAGTCAAGGTGGTAGGCTCATATTACTACTACTGCTAATTGATAACATTTATTGAATACCATGTGCCAGGCAGAGTGCAAAGGACTTTAAATGATCTCATTTGAATCCTATAACAGCCTCCAGAGGCAGGTATGGACATCTCCTGTTACAAATAAAGGTTCAGAAAGGTTAGGTCACTTTTTCAGTGTCCCATAATTGATTAGTTGATGAGTTAGAATTCAAATTCAGTTCCAAAAGACAGATAACCTCTGTTTCCTAACTGGGTTGATCAGTACATAGAAGGAAGACAGTGATGCCTAGACTAGCGAATTATGAATCTGTTGGGTCATAAATTCTTTGCCCAAATGGAAGGGAGAAAGCACTGAACACAGGTGTGATTAGTAAGCTCCTTAAGATATAGATGGGCTTACTCAATAAATTATGCTTTTATTTCCTAGAGAACTCACTGACACAGAATAGTCTCGCTACATTGGTTGTTACGGAAACTCTTTGCCGAATCCTGCAAGGTCTGAGTTCCCTTAAAATATTTTTTTCCGCTTCTAATCATCTATAAAAGAGACACCAGTGATCTTTGGGAAAGCTTTTTTAAAAATCTTCACCCAAGGTTATTTTCCCATTTATCCTCAGATAGAGTGGGAGGTGGGGAGAGAGAGAGAGAAAGAGAGAGAGAGAGAGAAAGAGAGAGAGAGAGAGAAACATTCACATGAGAGAGACACAGGGACTGGCTGCCTCCCACATGACCCTGACCAGGGCTGGGACCAAACCACAACCCAGGTGCGTGCCCTTAACCAGAATGGAATCTATGACTTCAAGGGCCGTTGCTCTAACCGCTGAGCCAAACCGGCCAGGGCTGGGAAAGAAGGCTTTCAAAAAAGACAGATAACTAGATCCCTCCCCAAATTTTTGACTCAGTTTCTTGGGGTAGACTCTAGGATTCTGTATCTTTAAAACAGTTCCATTTGCCCTGGCTAGTTTGACTCAGTGGTTGGAGCATCATCAGTCTGAGGACCAGAGAGTCCAGGGTTCGGTTCCCACTAGGGACACGTACCAAAAAAAAAAAAAGCTTAAAACAGCTCCATTGGTGATTCTGTGGGTCAACCAGGTTGAGGAACTACTGGATTAAACGATCCCAAAAGGAACTGCTTGGACTAAAGGATAACTTTCCTCATTGCAATGGGTCTGATTTTGGTTGCTAGGGAAGCCCCATCTGGCCAAAAAAAGACTGCTTTCTTCTTTAACCTCACCTCCCTCCTAGTTCTTTTGTGCCCCTGCCCTATATATCTCTCCTCGCTGTCACCGTGTCTTTTTCATGCTAACCAGGCTACAGCCACTTGGAACAGTAGCGCCACATCGTGGACAGAAACAATATAGTCCTACAGAAAGCACAAGACACTGTCCTAATAGATCGGGGAGCTGCAATTGTCACTTTGTCCTGCAGAGTACACCATTTGCTTATGTTTTTAAAATGAGGAATGTTTTTCCTGCCCTTAATGAGCTCAGTAAACATCCCCTGGGAGAAAGCATGGGATGAAACAAGGTTGCCAGATCAGAAATCAAAAACCTCCACACTGCAAAATTAGCATAAGCTGGGGAAGAGGCGGAGGGCACAGCAGGCACAGCCGGCTGCGGAAGTTAAAAGTCAATCTCTCCGACAGTCTTGGTCAGGGTAAGAATATACAGGTGGTCTCCAAATCCATGTGTACCTTTATAAAGACGTGTCTATTTGGGGTAGTGTTTGTTTCAGATACATCTTGAAAAGAGTTATTTTTTTATATGGTACACATGAGTCAGTCATTAATTAATAGATAGGCTTCTTGTCTGGTGATATTTCTAGCCAATGACACATAGGTTTATGTTGGTGGAACAGGTTGGGTCACTATAGTGTTGTTCTTATTATGCATCTTTTTTTTTTTTTTTTTAATTAGGGGAGAGCATGAACACAGTTCCTCTACCTCCAAATTATGCAATTGAGTTTCCCAGATTCTGGGGAAATTGCAGGGGTCAGCACAGCTGGAATACAATAGGTAAACCTTGCCCTGGGAAAACCTTCATGTTCATGTTATCTCTCCCCTGCCAAGAAATTGTGATTATGCATCTTCTGATTGAGTCCCAGCTGGCTAAATGTCTCTCTGTCTCAGTCTCTGTCTCTGTTTCTCTGTTTTACACACACACACACACACACACACACACTTCCTGTTATTTGTACCTAGACACTTTTTCAATGGTCTAATCATGTTTAGGGATCCAGCTAAATTAATAAAGTTACAAAGGGAATATATTAAAATTTACATAAATCCACTAGTCTATGTGGTTGAACTCTCTACTTGTTTTCCAATAACTGCATGCAGGCCTCAAAGTCAGGAGGGAGTGCTGAGAAGGGTGCACAACCATGCAGATCTGCTTAAATGTCCTGGCAGATGATGGCGCGGCTTGCTTTCTCTGTGAGCTACTTGGTTTTCTGAAACACAGTTACACTGGTTGCCAAGATCATATGGTTTAATGTAATGGCTTTGTTTGCTCTAATATGATTGCTGTCTCTCTCACTAGGCCGGTGAGCTCTTTGACTGCACGCTCCATGCCTGGATCTCTTACATCCCCTGAACACTCACCGACCACGTGGTTGGACATGCACTAGTTGCTAAATACAACTGTTTAGGCTGACAGGTTGAATAATGAGGAGAGGTGTTCTGAAAGAGTGAGCAGTAAAGGAGAACCAGGAGACATAAAATCAGAAAGGCATAAAAAATAATGTTTTTGCCCAGCTGATGTGGCTCAGTGGTTGAGTGTTGACCCATGCACCAAGATGTCTCCAGTTTGATTCCCAGTCAGGGCACATGCCCAGGTCGTGGGCCCAATTCCCGGGGGGGGGGGGGGGGGGGCATACAGGAAGTGGCCAATCCATGTTCTCTCTCTTTGATGTTTCTATCTCTCTCTCCTCTCTCTTCCTTTCTCTCTAAAAAATAAAAATAAAAATCAATAAAAGTTTTATAATGGGAGATTGCAGGAGTACATGTTCTTCCTTTGAGGACGATCCTCTCAGGGTCTTCCTAACCAGGCTATTGACAAGTGACTCTTTTATCTCTGCCTCTTTAATAAACATGTTCTCAAACTTCAGCCCATGGCTCTTTAAATGTCTTCTAAGCTTGGCTGTAATCTCCTTAAAATGTCCTGTTCTCCTGGGCACCTACCACTTTAAAGTCTTCAGTCTGCTACGGTCCTCTCCTTAAGTGTCTGCTCTGTCTTGAGCATCTGTACCTTTAAATCTCTTCTCTTTGGGGTACCTGTCCCTTTAAATGTCTACCTTATCTTGGGCCTTGGCCCCTTTATTTTTTTATTTTTTAAATAAAACTCAGGATTTTATCACTTTACTTGTATCTATTTCTTATTTCAATAATTGCTTTTCTGTCTCCAAAGTGAGTGTTTTGATGGAAGCATTTCATGTTGTTTGAGGGAGAGATAACCCATTGATTTTAGTAGTATAAACGCGGAATGGCTGGGGTGTGAATCTGTGACTTGGTCATGTCATAAAGAAGAATACATAAACCTAAAAACAGTAAAATCTTGGAATAGAGCATACTGCTTAATTGGGTTTCTGATTAACTATGGGTTAATGAGAAGATACTTTTTGTTTGAAATCTCTCTAAATGGCCTCAGTGCATTTTCTTGCTTTAATAAGTAGTCTAATGAATATAATTAAATCTTCTCTTACTGATTCAGCATTCTGCAATGCCTCAGGATCACAACTCTGAACATAATATATAATTCTATACTGTACTGTAGCTACAAAAGGTGTAGGAATTTAAGATAAGTCCTGAACATTTCTATACTTAAAATAATAAATCTCTGTGATCTGTGCATTTCACTCTATGTAAATCTACCTTAATTAAATAAGTAAATGCCTATTACATATCATAGAATAATAGAGTATTCAATTCAGAAGAGACTTTTGAGATTATGAAATTCAATGCCATTATTTGCCAGATAAAAAAACTAAGGCCCAGAAACTAACAAGAAGAGTTAGTACAGCTCAACTACAATCAATGTCTCCTGATTGCAAATCCAGTGGCCCTTTAACTCCCTTACGCTGCAACTTTCAAATGATTTGCAATTCTTGTCTTTTGTCTCCCATCCCCCATGAAAATGAAGTCCATTCTCAAAATTGGTTATTTGGAATGTTTGGTTAAATGAATGTAAGCTCCATTAAAATATAAGCTTTCTTATATTTTGAGAATATATTTCGCTGATGTATTCTCAACACCTAGAACTGTGCATGCCTCTTAGAAGGCTCTCAGTAAATGTTTGTTGAATAAAAGAATGAATTAAATTGAAATATTTATTATACACAAGATAACTTGATTTCGAGCTCATGGCTCTACATTAATCTACTCAGCATTTGCCCAGCTGGTGTGGCTCAGCGGTTGAGCATCAACCCATGTACCAATAGGTCACTGGTTCAATTCCTGGTCAGGGCACATGCCCAGTCTGTGGGCCTGATCCCCAGTGGGGGGGGGGGGCATGTGGCATACGTGACCAATCAATGTTCTCTCTCATCAATGTGTTTATCTCTCTCTCCCTCTCCCATCCTCTCTCTCTCTAAAATCAATAAAGAAAAACTATTTTTTAAAAATCTACTCAGCATTCATCAAGTATACAGATTACAAGTTAGAATTATGGTCAGACTGAGTTTATAATTAGAAAATAAAAGTAAAAGGATAAATATTAAATAATTGTGGTAAAACATCATGAACTTTTGTCTCACTTTGTGTATCTCAGTTTCAAACACCAAGTGAGGAGCCCAGATATTAAATTGTGAAAACACTCTTCAGATAGTCAATTGAATCAACAAAATAGAAAATGTCACAACTCAGTTTTGCAAAGCTGTTTGTTAAATATGAATTCTACATAATATTTAAACATGCTTCTTCAAACAGGCAAAAAACAACAAAAAAAAAGCCATCAAAAACTAGGGAGAACAAAAAAGTCAGGGACACTGTACCCTGTACTTATTATCAGATATGTCCTTTGACTTTCAAAATTGGTGGGTTTGCTTAAATTATCAGACAAGTGCTTCAGTATTAAGAACTACTTCAGAAACAAACTCAAGAATAAATGAATCACAAAAGCCCTCTACTTAAGGACTAGTTTAAAACGTAACAGTGTAAACATCTAAGGTTATATGAATACAAAGACAAAATGAACCTGTGAGGTGGACTCATCTTTGGAAGAGAAGTGAAGAAGACAGAATAATTCATGCAATGTGTTGGTTATGTGGCTGCCAAGCCATATTTTATTTTGTTTTTATTCCCAGAACTTTAAAAATAATGTCCATGGTCCAGAAATAAAACTTAACAATAATAATAATACGACAAGATGAGAAGATGGTACTTATCTACAAAGTAGACCATGTTTTATTACTTTTATATTTCAAAAAATGCTTTAAGTCACCACAGTTCTTTGAGTTTCTTTTTTCATGAATCACCACTAAACCATTAACTTTGTTGAAATTGAGGATCAGGTCTAATTCACGTTTGTATCTGCAGTGCTTGGTACAATGGTGAAAAATAAGAGGAATTTTAGAAATATTTGTTGAATGAAATTTAGGAACAGGCTTATGGGCCCTCTTCTAAATGATAATGATAGATGGTAAACTTAACTAGAGTTAAAGAGATGGATAAAGATGAAAGGAAATGAAGACTTATCTTTTTGGAGCACCCATCCTGAATATTTTTTAGCTTACCTTAATCCTCAAGATCTTGAATGTCCACTGGGGACAGAGTTTTGTAACAAACACATACACCCCAAAATGTTTGTTGTTGCCAAAGTACATTGAAAGGACAGCATTCCTATAACTTTTTTATTCTTAATTATGTCTACTTCCTGAAATAACACTCCTATCAATAGGAATTTTTTTTAAAAATAGGTTTCTATTGATTTTTTTAAAGAAAGAAGAAGGGAGAGAGAGAGAGAAACATCAATGTGAGAGAGGAATATCTATCAGCTGCCTCCTGCACACCCCCTACTGGGGATCGACCTGAAGCCCAGGCATGTGCCCTGACCAGGAATTGAATGGAAACCTCTCAGTCCATGGGATGACACTCAATCCACAGAGCTATACCGGCCGGGCTCAATAGGAGTTTTATGTGCCATGAAATATTGCTTTCTGGGTAGAAATTTTACTTTCGGTACTCAGATTTCTGTTCAAATAAACTTTAACCTATTTTGAACAAGAAATTATATGGTAGGATTGATTACAAGGTTGTGAAAATGATTGGACATAGAGAATGCAGAGAAGAGGAGATACTTTCCCACCCCCTTAAATTAGGAAGATATGGCCTCCAGGACACAAGGGTGCTGAGAACTGACCGGCTAGCCCACCAAAGTAGATGGAATGTGGAGCCGCCTCACTGAAATGCTGTTAGAATCCAAGGTCCCTTGGAGGTGAGCTTGGGACCTCAGAGGTCAGGGCTGTTGTGAGGATCTGCTTTTATTTATTTTTATTAAATTTATCTTTATTGTCAAAAGTATTACAGATGTCCTCCCCCCCCCCCTTGACCCCCCCATTCCCCCTCCCACACCCTCCTGCCTTCCCCACACTTTTGTCTATATCCATGAGTCATGCATATATGCGTATAAATTCTTTGGTTTATCTCTTCCCATCCCTCTCTCCCCTTCTGCCCTTTAAGGTTTGCCAATCTAACAACCAATTTCTACTTCTTAATCCCTTCACCTTTTTCACTCATCCCCTCAACCTCCCTCCCATCTGGCAACCAACAAAGAGTTCTCTGTATCTATGAGTCTGTTTCTGTTCTGCTTGTTCATTTGGTTTGTAGATTCGATTATTGATAGATATGTATTTATTGCCATTTTATTGTTCATATTTTTGTTCTTCTTCTCCTTTAAGAAGACACTTCAACATTTTATATAATACTGGTTTGGTGGTGGTGAACTCCTTTAGCTTTTTCTTGTCCGGGAAGCTCTTTATATGTCCATCAATTCAAATGATAGCTTTGCAGGATAGAGTAATCTTGGTTGTAGGTCGTTGCTTTTCATCACTTTGAATATTTCTTGCCACTCCCTTCTGGCCT